AAAAAGGGGGATAAAAAAAGAGAGAAAAAAAAAATTGTAAATTGATCATGGAAAATTAATGACACATCTTTGGCTTTATCGCTCGCAGGCTACGCAGGCTACGTACCCTCCGCAGGACACGGAGCAGGCGGTGTAGGGGCCGACCTCCCACTGGTAGTGCTCCTCCCGCGGCCGCGTCACGTAGCTCGTGGTGATGCGCGCGCGCTCTCGGGTCCCTGAGTTGTGGACCTGCGGGGAGGGGGGGCGGGAGTCACTTATTGGCGTGTGGATTCCTTGGATCAACTGTAAGGATCCCATATTCCCATGAACACACACGCACGCACGCTCGCACGCTCGCACGCACGCACGCTCGCACGCACGCACACACACACGCACGCACACACACGCACACACACACACGCACACACACACACACACACACACACACAAACACACACACACACACAAACACACACACACACACACACACACACACACACACACACACACACACACCCGGCGCCGTACCCCCTGAAAACGAGCGGCCGAGGGAGGGAGGAGAAGAAGGGAGAAAGGGAGGAAGGGAGGCAGGGAGGAGAGGAAGGAAGGAAAGAAGGAGGAAAGCAGGAAGGAAGGGAAGAAAGAAGGAAGGGAAAGAGGAAGAGAGGGAAGGAGGAAGAGAGGGAGGAAGGGAGGAAGGAGGCGAAGGAGGACTCACCAGGACGAGGACGGGGCGCAGAAGGGGTCCTCGCGCCTGCAGGAGCTCGCGTCCCTCGGGGTCGCTGTAGTGGAACTTCGCGCCCTTGCCTGGGGGGGGGGGGGGGAGAGGCGAAAATCTTGTAAGTTGCTCGAAAAGGAAGTTTAAATGAGTATCTAATACAAATATATATGGTCGAAACGGAAGTTTAAAGGAGTATTTAATACAAATATATATGGTATAAGTAAGTGTAAATACGTATGTAATATGAATAGAAAGTTTAGATAATTATCCTTCATGAATATACAAAACAAGTGGTTTAAATAAACATCTAAAATGTATAATCTAAGTCAGCTTAAACAAGTATTTATCATAAATTTGCAATGTAATTCAGTTTACACAAGTATACACAAATATCTGGACAGAAAATGGCCCAAGGGAAAGAGAGAAACATCTTTTCTTTTATATTTTGCTCCTTTCCTTTATTTTGTTTTATTTTTTCGTTTCACCATTTCTATTTTTCTTTTCTCTTCTTTCTTTCTTTCTCTCCTTCTCAGTCAAATTCTTAACCGGTTATTTCTAACTCTACTTTACCCCCACTTTCTTTCTTTTCCTCTTTATTCATTCATATATCGGTCAATCTCACCTATTTATACAATTATTCATTCACTTATTCATCCATTTATTTCCCGTTCAACAAATGAGCAATAGCAAAAGCAACTCTCTTTTTTTTTCCCTCAACTCACAGACGATACTCATGGGCGGTTCCTGAGTGCTGCCGCCGTTCAGGAAGAAAACGCTAGGCACAGTGACGTTCCCGTTGTTGTTGTTGTTGTTGTTGTTGTCGGGACCGAGTGCTAGGAAATGCGTCGTGGCGACTTCCTCTTGGACTACGATGTTCCGCGCGCCCGCAGGCAGCCGGGCCATCACGCTGTAGTCTGCGGGCGGAGGAGGGAGAGGGGGTTAGGGCGGGCTTGGGAGGGAGGGAGGGAGAGAGAGGGGGAGAGAGGGAGAGAGAGGGGGAGGGAGGGAGAGAGAGGGGGAGAGAGGGAAGGAGAGATGGAGAGGGAGAGAGAGGAAGAGAGAAATAGAGAGATAGAGAGAGAGAGAGAGAGAGAGAAAGAGAGAGAAAGAGAGAGAAAGAAAGAGAAAGAGAGAGAAAGAAAGAGAGAGAGAAAGAAAGAGAAAAAGAGAGGGAAAGAATAAAAAGAAATAAAAAAGAGAGAAAAAGAAAGAAATAGAGAAAAAAAGAAACAAAGAAAGAAAGAAAAAAATACAAAAACAAAACACGCACGCAAACCAATAACCTTAAAAAATAATAATAATATTAGTAAGAAAAAAAAAATCCACTATTCCATTAAATCACCTCCATATCCACACCAAACAGACACACACACAGACACTCACCTGGCGGAGGAACCTGCTCGTAGACGAACTCCCTGCGCTCGCACGTGGCTCCGTCGCCGCCGCAGACGCCGCACTCGTCCTCCTGCGCCTTGGAGCCGACTACATGGTCGCAGCCCATCGCCACGCACTTGCCCTGCGCACGGCGGGGGATAACGTTTGTTTTTATTTATTTTAGTTTTGAGGGATTGTGGTGCGTTATCTTTTAAATACAAATTATACATCGCCACGCACTTCCCCTGGAACCGGCGGGGGATAACGGCGTTAATTCACTTATTTATTGGTCTGTTTGTTTTAATTTGTTTAAGTTTTGAGTGATTTGGTTGCGTTATCTTTAAAATATAATTATATATTGCCACGCACTTCCTCTTTGGCACGGCGGCGAGGGGGCGGGGGGATAACGGCGTTAATTTATTTATTGACTGATCTGTTTGTCTTTTTTATTTATTTTACTTTTGACTGATTTATTTGTGTCATCTTTTAAATATAATCACACTTATCATTATCATTATCATTATTATTGTTATTATCATTATTATTATTATCATTATTAATCTAGTTATCATTGATATCGTCAGCGTTGAGATTGAGGATGTTATCGAATTCAAATAATGATTAATGAACATTGAGTGGCGTGCGTTTAGCGTGGCTCGAAAACATTAAATATCTGTTGATAGCGATCACTGTAATTACGATAATACAAATAAAACACAACTATCATTACTGTTAATAACAATAGTAATAATAAGCACTAATGGTAAAAATGATAATAAAAATTATAATAATAATAATAATAATAATAATAATAATGATGATAATAATAACAACAATGATAACAATAACACCAAAATCAATAATGATATTGATAATAATAATAATAACAATAACAATTATACAAAAAAACAAAAAAAAACCATTAATAATATTAGTGATAAACAAAAAAATAACAATAAAACTGATAACAATAATAGCAAACCCTAATTCCCCCAATGCGATAAATCACGAAAACAAACACAATACTGCTATAAAACAAACAAACAAACAAAAAAAAACACCATGACAATCGTAGTTAAAACCACGCCCCCCCCCCACACACACACACCATGAAATAAATTAATAAAAAAAAACAGAAAAAAAAAACACCATGACAGTCTTAGCTAATACCACGCCCTCCCCCCCCCCCACACACACACACACCACACACACACACACCACACACACACACACACATAAACACACACACACACACACACACACACACACACACACACACACACGCGAGGGCGGCCACTCACTGCTCTTGGGCTCGTAGGGCAGCCAGCTGAGCGCCGCGCGCCGCCGGTCCAGGTTGACGATGCGCGGGAGGAGGTGGCACTGCTGGCCGCGGAAGTCCTGGCGCGGCAGCTGGCACTCCTCGGTGCCGCACACCCTCCACTCCTCGCGCTTGCCGCGGCAGCGCCGCCCGCCCCAGGCCGGCCTGCGGGGGAGGGGTTAGTGGCTATGCATAAATGCATCTGTCCGTCAATCAATACATATGTACCCATATACGTGTGAATATAAAATCATTGTCCTTTGTCCAGTCGGCTCCACTCGGCCAGCACTCACGGCGGGTTGTCGCATTTGCGGGTGCGGAAGGCGACGCCGGTGCCGCAGGTGCGCGAGCAGGGCCCCCAGCCGCTCCACGTGCCCCAGCCGCCGTCCTGCGGGTTGTGCCGCACCGGGGACTCGCCGCTGCCGCCTCCGCCGCCGCCGCCCTCAGGTTGCTGGCTCATCGACGCGCAGAACCCGTGGCGACACCACTGGAAGGGGAAGGGGTTAGTGGGGGCGCGGTGGGGTGGGCGGGGGAAGGGGAGGGGGGGAAAGGGTGGGGAAAGGAGGGCAGAGTAGGGGAGAGAGGGGGAGAGAAAAACGGGAATGAGAGGGAAGGAAAGGATAAAAGGCAGAGAAGTGAAGACAGGTAGGGATGAGGAAGGATGACGCGAACTCAACTGAAATGAGCAGGAGGAAAGGCGAAAGGAAAAGTTGCCCCGGAGGAGCTGAAATCCCCGAATAAAACTGATATAGGCCAATCATAGGGACTAAAAAAATATCACAATCATTCCCACTACTGTAGATGTCAAGTCCTTCCTCAGCTGACTCTTAAAGAAACAAAAATCCTTACATGAATGCTATCATCAGTCACAAGAAAAAAAAAACACCATGACAGTCTTAGCTAATACCACGCCCTCCCCCCCCCCCACACACACACACACACACACACACACACACACGCGAGGGCGGCCACTCACTGCTCTTGGGCTCGTAGGGCAGCCAGCTGAGCGCCGCGCGCCGCCGGTCCAGGTTGACGATGCGCGGGAGGAGGTGGCACTGCTGGCCGCGGAAGTCCTGGCGCGGCAGCTGGCACTCCTCGGTGCCGCACACCCTCCACTCCTCGCGCTTGCCGCGGCAGCGCCGCCCGCCCCAGGCCGGCCTGCGGGGGGAGGGGTTAGTGGCTATGCATAAATGCATCTGTCCGTCAATCAATACATATGTACCCATATACGTGTGAATATAAAATCATTGTCCTTTGTCCAGTCGGCTCCACTCGGCCAGCACTCACGGCGGGTTGTCGCATTTGCGGGTGCGGAAGGCGACGCCGGTGCCGCAGGTGCGCGAGCAGGGCCCCCAGCCGCTCCACGCGCCCCAGCCGCCGTCCTGCGGGTTGTGCCGCACCGGGGACTCGCCGCTGCCGCCTCCGCCGCCGCCGCCGCCGCCCTCAGGTTGCTGGCTCATCGACGCGCAGAACCCGTGGCGACACCACTGGAAGGGGAATGGGTTAGTGGGGGCGCGGTGGGGTGGGCGGGGGAAGGGGAGGGGGGGAAAGGGTGGGGAAAGGAGGGCAGAGTAGGGGAGAGAGGGGAGAGAAAAACGGGAATGAGATGAAGAGGGAAGGGGAACGAAAGGATAAAAGGCAGAGAAGTGAAGACAGGTAGAGATGAGGAAGGATGACGCGAACGCAGCTGAAATGAGCAGGAAGAAAGGCGAAAGGAAAAGTTGCCCCGGATGAGCTGAAATCCCCGAATAAAACTGATATAGGCCAATCATAGGGACTAAAAAAATATCACAATCATTCCCACTACTGTAGATGTCAAGTCCTTCCTCAGCTGACTCTTAAAGAAACAAAAATCCTTACATGAATGCTATCATCAGTCACAAGAAAAAAAAAACACCTCACGTATTTAGTCCCTTAACCTATGTTCTTTGATTTGTAATTTTTCTTCCTATCGCTTTCCCATCCCTCTCTACGCGACCTTTTTTTTCCTCTCAATTTCCCCCCTTCTCTCTTTCTACATCGCCTTTCTCCATACCACTTCTCCATCCCTCTCTGCATGACCCTTTCCTGACCACTTCTCCATCTCTGTCTGACAGCTGGTTGAACACACCTTCTGGTCCCCGCAGATGGTGCCTTCGAGGGGCGGTCCCTTCTTGGTCTTGCAAAGATGGGGCGCCGAGGAGTTGCTGCACCACAGATGGGTACAGGGGTCCGTCATACTAATCATCTGGCACAACCCAAAGCTGAGGACACGCAGGGAAAAGAATATATTTTTTTAATTGTAAGAAAAGAATTGTACTTTTTTTGTACACACGCAATCACAAACACATGCACAACACAACAACAACGATTAAAAAGGCGTCATTTTTCCAAGCGCCTTCCCTCAACGCTACGTCCGACGAACCACTCACTCATCCACTCACCCACTCACACTCACCTACCCACCCACTCACTCACCCACCCACCCAAATACCCACTCACTCTTCGCCAAACTCCATTCTACACTGGTACTCATTCACTCACTCACTCACTCACTCGCCCACCTATCCACTCAATAACTCACCCACTTACTCGCTCACTCTTCGACAAACTCCATCCTCCATTAGTCGTCAACAAAATACTGGTACTCACTCACTAACCCACCCACTCTCTCACTCACCCATCCACCCAAACACCCACTTACTCAACCTTTGCTAAACTCTATCCTGCACTGGTTGTCGAGTGAATACTGGTACTCACTCACCTACCCACCCACTTACTTAACTCACTCAATAACTCACCCACTTACTCACACTCACCCTTCGCCAAATCCCTGGTATTCACCCACTAACCCACCCACTCTCTCACTCACCCACCCATCCACCCACTTACTCACTCACCCTTCGCCAAACTCCTGGTACTCACTCACTAACCCACCCACTCTCTCACTCACCCATCCACCCACCCATTCACCCACCCACCCACTTACTCACCCCTCGCCAAACTCCATCCTGCACTGGTCGTCGAGTGAATACTGGTACTGGATGGTAGATGGAACTGTGGTCGCGTTCTTCCACTGCGGTTTGTTCAGCATGCAGGTCCAAGCTCTGTGGGGGGGAAAGGTGGATGAGGCAAGTTGGGGAAAGGTTGGGGGGGGGGGGTGATGGGGGGGGGAAGGAAGGGAGGGATTGCATTGGGAGAGAGTGTGGGAGGGAGTGGAGGAAAGGAGAGAGAGAGAGAGAGAGAGAGAGAGAGAGAGAGAGAGAGAGAGAGAGAGAGAGAGAGAGAGTGAGTGAAAGAGAGAGAAAGAGAGAGAGAGAGAGAGAGAGAGAGAGAGAGAGAGAGAGAGAGAGAGAGAGAGAGAGAGAGAGAGAGAGAGAGAGAGAGAGAGAGCAAGAGAGAGAGAGAGCAAGAGAGAGAGAGAGAAAGAGAGAGAGAGAGAAAGAGAGAGAGAGAGAAAGAAAGAGAGATAGAAAGAGAGAGAAAGAAAGAGAGAGAGAGAGAAAGAGAGAGAGAGAAAAAGAGAAAGAAAGAGAAAGAAAGGCAGACAGACAGACAGAGAGAGATAGAGAGAAGAAAGAAGAAAGAAAGAGAAAGAGAGGGAAATTTCTGAGCGATGGTCCTTATCTTACAACACCTCCAACAAAAATACAAAAATGACACCGAGATATGGCACTCATGACAATCAGCTGTCGCGGTCACTCACAAGCCCCAAGAGTCGCAGACAGTGGCACTTGCAACTCATAACAATCACGGGCAGTGGCACCCCGTTATCTGGCTCCCTCGTAATCACTGGCACTTACAATCCATCACAATCACGAGCAGTGCCTTTCACAATCTACAACACTCAGTGAATATGACACCGCCCCTCCAGAAGCCGTGCGAAACAAGGGCACTGCCAAACCCGGGCTAGGACAGAACCCCCTAAGGACAAGTCAGTGACAAACGTACAGTGCCCGCGGCCTTTGGCACTCACCGAGCCCTGCCGTGGTACTCCCGCTTGGAGCACTTGGACCAGTGGAACCTGCTGAAGGTGGCGGCGACGAGGGGCGCCATCACCGACCCCTGGAAGCCCTCGCTCTCGCAGTCGTTCCTCGCCACCGGGTCGCCGTCGTGACTCAGGCCCAGG